TTGTAGTGGGCCATGAATTATCGCCTCGGTAAAGTTATTAATTTCAACGAATTTGATTGTTTGTTTGTTTGTGTGCGTGTTGTTGATTGTGTGTTGTCGATTCTGGATACTGTCGCTCACCAACGACCATCAGTTTTGCTAGTTGACGTTAAATCTATCTCGAGATTTCAGTAATCCAGTACTAAATGTCGAATTAAAATTCAATTATTCACTCTTTATATCGAAACAGAATCCCAGAAAATGTGTTTTGGAGTCACCCGGCGCACTGGTACCGCAACAACCAGATTGACTTCGCTCTAACACTTTCAGCGTTTCTGACACGATGATAGCGGATGGAAACTCAGATTAACTGAAAAGTACTCAAATAGAAAATCACTACTAGTTAACTGGTAATTGGGGTTATCTAGTAATAAAACGTCCAGATCGCACGTTATGGCTGATATTACGTAATTAGTGTCGTTCTATTTATGATTTCACATTGTGCTTAAATCGTGATTATTCCCCAACCTCGTTTCCAGTTACTGTTATCGTTGAGACACTAGTCCATATTGACATGGAACACCACACTCTGGTCTCGTTTTATTATTGTTGCACAATTCCCGTAAAATGAATAGCTCAGTGCGCCGCCGACGAGACTAGTTTTATTTCAATGTGCGGGGAATTCCGTATTTAGAACATCGTTACTATGGCAACCTCAATTCGACGCTATCTCACCTCGCCCTGATCGAGCCCAAATATTGACCCAAGGCAATTTGTGCAGAGTCTGTTTGATGGATTTCTTTTCATGGGTCCTTGGCGTTTATGTCAATCATACTACGTCGACGAAAACAAACGCCATCCCCCGTATTGTATATTTATAGTAGACTTATCTAGGTAGAAATCGGACGCTATCTAATCTAAAATGGTCACCGTTTAAGATTAGGAAAGTCGAGAGCTTAGAAACTGGTACCTAGCTCTGCGGTGACGGTATATACCCAAGGTGCACGTGACCAAAACGAGTCCGTACAATTTTTTTTAATTTAAATTTATGTAAAACGATACTTTGATTTCTACTGTTGTATCATTATTTTCAATCACGTTCAATATTCATATTATTGCGGTATTCGTCGTCAATCCCCGTCCCGGGCAGCATGGTTTATGAACGCAAACTCTGGTTAACCGCGGGGTGGACGGATCGACTGATTCACACAATAAAACAACAGAATTCACGCACCCGACCATACGGTACGTTAACTCATAGCAGATGCTGTTATAGAAAGTAAAATAACTGAATATAACACCGAATACACGATATTCAACGTTTGTTTAGAACTTGTTTCACTGCGATAGCTCAGGCTCGTTGACGTAATTTCTATTCTCTGAACAAAATGTTTGGTACTTTGGCGGGTAACGCAACAACAAAGAGCTTTCGTTTATTTCCCATGTATATTCTACATAACTTAGATTGTTGTTTGAGTTTTAACCGTAGCTCACTGGGTGAAAGGTTGTGTGAATTATTTTTAGTCGTCCAGTCATGCTGGCGTAGAGAAACATGTACATACCGCGGAAGTCCAAAAATATATCAACATATCCACCCATAAAAAACATAAGTCATGGTAATTATGCAAAAACAATTTCAATAGGTTTAAATTTACCGAAATTTCAAAATATTACCCCCAAATCGCTCGGATTTACGTAAATTGACTTCAAGAGATTGCTATTTTATCAGTTTCGGATACTTTCGAAGACCAGAGTCACGTGTATAGTGTCCGTGTCAGACATTGTGCATCGTTCGCTTGTCGCCCCGAAAAATACGACGTTTTTATCCCACATACCGGATAAATACGACGTTTTCACCCCCCCCCCCCCACACACACACACACCCACATACCGGATTAATACGACTCGTTTTTGACTGTGGGAACAATTCCACGTGGTTGTCGGATGAGCTATCATCGCGCTCAGCAATAAAGAGAGAGCGGAATGCAGCTAGTACATTTACTCAATGTGGTCTAGTGTGATTTATTTTATCGTTGCTTTTGTGAGATTCCAGTGAAATTATCCTGGTTTCCACGCCGGCTTGATGATCACTACTTATATGCACACCATATTATATTCGCGCTGGTTCGTGTGAAATGTAATATCGATATAGCTTGACAATAATGAATGACAACATTGTGCGCGCGTTTGTTAATGTTGCTGAGCATCTACGCTCAAGTCAAAGTTGCGAAAATGCAAATAAAAAGTTGATTTCATAAAATTTGACAAAAACGAACGGTCAATGACTTAAACCCTCTCGACGATCTTCCGTAATGTTTTAAAGGCAGTGGTTATTTAGAGCAGGCGGTGTCGAATGTAGTATACAACTTGATTGTCTGAGATACTACGTATGTATACCGCTGCCATTCCAGAAGAGGGATTACATGGACGAGTTATGTGGAGTACTCGATTCTTCTGCGTGTTCAATCGGATCGAATTGTCGTACTGTTCTATGTGTCAATGTGTGCTATTAAAGTGTACGCCACACAAAATAATCGTAACATTAATGTGAAAATTCTGGCATTGGAAGTAACATCGTGAATTATTCACTGAAATACTAATACACGCTTGATAAAAGCACGCTTTCATGTTACGTCACGGTGTCTTCCACGTTCAGTTTGAAAAGCCATAGACATACACACTAGGGTGGTTGGCTGGCTTGTAACTATTGGGCACACCGGTAAAATGGTAAAAATGTAATGTTTAAATTAGTATATAACTTTT